GAAGTTAATTCTTCCTTGTTTTTATGGTGTCTTACAGTAGAATATAGAACACGCGTCTTAATCCTATCGTAAGAGTTTGTCAGTTGGACAAAACATACGTCTCCCCTGGATTTCACCAACTAGCACTTCGGATGACTAATGCAGATGATGTCAGAGGTCAGTTCACTGGGAACAGATTTCTCATTGGCCAGGTTGTGAGTAACACACACATACTCACATACTTGTTGTGCGAGGTGCACCTAATGAATACCACTATACAGTTGCCCCCAGGTTGAATCATACACAGTGAGATACACAACAGAGATCCATTGGCCAAAAGAAAAGTTTCAGTGTATACGCCAATGAGATGTATCTCTATGTGAGATAATTCAAATGCCTTAGTAAATCTAGCTTTGGGACTTCGATAGAGTCTTTAACTACTAAAACAAAATATAATTATTATTTATTTTTATTTGTTTTAATAATGTAGGCATTTATTTGTTCTCATCTAACACCTGCCTACAAACAACGCAATCTTCTCCAAAAGAAACAACATCATAAAGGATTTCATCGCTGACGTAAGTCACAATTGTTTTAGAGTTGTGTTCTTACATGGAAATTCATAAGAACTCATAACAATTGAAAAAAAATGAAATCAAGTCAGTAAAAGTGAGTGAATAGTAGAGTATGATTGACATTTTTCTTTTGGAAAGAAGGGAGACATAATTATTATCATACTTAAGATTGTTTTATAGAACTTTGAATGTTTTTATTTACAGGTTTTACACAAATTTCTTCAAGAAATACTTTTTCTTACATAATCCGCTCCACAATGAGTTAAACAACGTTTTAATTTGCTTAAATTAAATGATGTTTTATCGCATAATAACTAACTGACTGGTTTCAACATAGAACTTTGCATAAATGTGCAGCAGTTATAGTCGCCACACTCCATGTAACACACAAAGCAAGGGAAGAAAGTAAGGAGAGATTCAAGAGAGAGATAACAGACTGAAATATGAGTCAAAAAGAATAGTAATATAGAAGAAAAATAGAATTTTATTGAATATCATAAATCACAAGGAGTGGGTGCATCTGCGCCACCATCGAGAACGATTTTGAGCCATATCACTAATTGCCTCCAGCATCCTGAGGACCCCAAACATACAGCAGTCAACACCTCCCTAAACGACTGGCTCAAACTAACTATTAGGGATTTCATTGACTGATGAGGGCATGTTTTCGTTTGACTAGCACTAGCTTTCTCTTTTCCAAGTTGGTCCAGCAGTGTAAGTCAGCTAACATTGCCCATCGGTCGAGGAAGGCGATGGCTAGGCATGATTAACACATGTTCTAACTATTTCAATCGGTGTAACTTCACAGCCTTGTTGATTGCTTTCCTCTCCAACTCACCTAGCACTCGACCGATGCCTAACCTCAATATTACTCGCCCTATTATATCATTTCACACGGGAGATAGAACGCAAATACCTATGATCAAAGAAAGCTAGCCAGCATTTCGATGTCTTCCACTCTTAATGTCCGTGTCTCACTAACAGGCATAAAGGAGGACAGAGCAAAGTGCTGAGCAGTACACACGCCGTTTGATCGACAGCCAGCCGGATATCACTGATATAAGAATAAAACTTGTGCACTGTGGTAGAGTGTAATTCCATTATGGGTAAATTTTGTTTTGATAAGGTCTCACAGTGCTATGCAGTAATGTTTACTGATGACGTTTCGAGCACAATTTATTGCTCATAATCATACCACGGTAATCACACGACTTCCTAAATTCATTTATATAGTTCCATTCTTTTTCACTTGATTTGATTGGTAGTAATATTTTCCATATTTCGGGAATGAGTGATGAATCATCCCTATTGCATGTGTTGGGTGTAGATTCGATGAACAAGGATTCAGTAATCAACCTCTCTCTCCAAAATACCCTGGAATGACTGTCAGGTCAACTACATAGGTCAAACTAGTAGGTCAGGGGTAGTCAGATTGTCAGAACATAAGAATTTAGCTAAGGTAAGAATGGTTGACCCAGAGAAGATAAGTAATTTAGAAAAAAGCTCGGCAATTGCAATGCATGCATTAACACACAACCACACAATAAGGTGGGAGAGGGTTAAAATTCTAAAAAGTAATCTAGGTAGGTAGAGAGAGAGGTTGATTACTGAATCCTTGTTCTTCAGCCGGATATCACGTCTACCCCAGAGATGGAGTAAACTAGCATAATAGTTTAGTCAAGCCTTTTAAGTGGCATTATTGCATATCGTCACTAATTGTAGCACCAGAGTCCGTTGCTATGGTGGTTTAATGACAAGTTATATAATTTTTGTGCACTTTTTTCGATGAAATTTTGAATCAGAATTTTTTAAATGGCATAAATGTCATCTGTGACATTTCTATTCTTGAACAGCAATACATTTGTTGCACTTTTATCAGGACATGTTGCTTGATACTGATATCTGCACAATGTAATGGGTAGTAGGGTTAAACAACGCAGTAAATTTAAAAGTTGAACGTATATAATTTTACATTTTCATGAAATCATGCGAGTATATTTAGCCTATTTATTGACAATATCGACAATACTGACCGGATAAAGCAGGTGGTACTGTGGTGAGAGCTGGCTGCTTGCCAAAGTTGGTAGACAGTAATTGACGTCAATGTTTATGTCCCCAATATTGGTGGTGACAAAATGAGAACAAAGGCTTTGCGTAGGCGGATACAGTTAGCATATAGATGATCTGACATAGCCACAAAGAGATGCAAGGTTAACTTTCTGTGAGAAACAACCAATCAAAAGACTGTATTGTCTACTAACAATAATCTACGATAATGTACATTAAAATCTATAAATATGTGTTGATTTTCCTTAATAAACGATCTGTTATGCCTGGCCCTTGTCTTCTGTTGTAACAGTACCACTACTTCTTCAAAAAAGGGAAATACACCCAAATTGTTTTCTATTTATTTCAAAATGAAGATGGCGGCTAGTGTTGAATTTCACTAGACACCAGTTTCTTTTATTATTTTAGTTGCATTAACTAGATAATCGCTGACATCACAGATTTCAGCTCACTGGAATAATTTCAATCTGTAGAAGTGTAACTTCTCACGGTTATTTTCATAACCACCTCGTAATGATGCCCATTATCCCCATTTCTATTCAACTTCATCATAGATGTACTAATGGACTAAACCCTAACTCACTTCAGAGACTCAGGGATTGACTTGCTACCAGGGAATAATCTCGTTGACTTAGAATATGCAGACGATATAGTCCTTCTAGGTGAGGACGCTGACAAAATACAGAATCTTCTGAACACATTGAGCTGCAATCTACGAATGTTTGGCATGCGATTCGCTCCCGCCAAATGCAGGATGATGTTACAGGATTGGACTACACTGACTCCTAGATTAGAAATGGGTTATGAAGTGGTAGAGCACGTTGATCGTTTCACTTATTTGTGAAGTTGCATCACCTTGCGCCAACGTGTTGGTCGCTGACGAAATCTTAGCACGGATACAGAAAGCTAGTTTCGCATATGCCAGTTTACGCCGTTTCTGGCGTAAACGTGACATCCGGCTAGCTGTTGGCCAAAAGGCGTGTGTACTGCTCAGCAGTCCGCTCCGTCCTCCTTTATGGCTGTGAGACCTGGCCATTGAGAGTGGTATACATGAAAAGACTGGCTCTCTTTGATCATACGTGTCTGAGTTCTATCTCCCGTGTCAAGTGGTATGATAAGGTGAGCAATATTGAAGTTAGGCGTCGAGTGTTAAGTAAGGAGGGAAATCAATCGAACCAATACCACATACAACTTTATTCCTCGGTTTTCCTATCCCTAATTAAACAAGCAATCTAGATAACAACTGATGAAGACAAATCAGAAAAGATTATGTGAAGAGTAGAACAAATATTAAGAAAAATTATACTACTGTCTAGTGAATTAGTAAATGAACTATTAAAAACAAATACATAAAAGTGTCAGTGATTGCTTCATCTAAACTGAGTACTCTTCAACTGATGACACTCTGAAAACCTTGTCAGTTTGAAATTAATAAGAGATGTGCTGTAAAAGATATGCTTTTTAACTGTGACACAGCATCAAATCTTGAGTCTCTAAAATGAATGGAACAAGTGACTGGCACCTCTTGGGGTGCTGAGAACCAAGATTTCAAAGTTAGCTGAAAAGTTATAACGAAACTCCAACTTGTACACAATCCAGCGTATTAATCTTCGTGCAGTTTCAAGGATTTAGTGGAGTTCTGCAACTTATCAACCACCATAAACCTAATCCAAACAACTCCTAGTGTTGGGCATACGTACTTGATTAAGTGTTCAAAAAATGACAGTAACATCGAGTTATAACGACTAAACGAAAAAAAAAACATGTAGATAAACCGCCCTTTGGAGGTAAAGAATCTCGGCGTTTGTTTACGTATGTAAGATGTAAAGCATCCTAGACAAGTTGGTAACAATTTGCAAGAAGATGTGATTGATCTAGACTACGTGTTTTAGGCCGTCTGACTATCATTTTTAATTATCTAAAATACCTTCCAGTGTACTCATTTGTAATCTGCCTTTCTGGAAAGTTATATTAGACAATAATAACTAAGGTTCAGATGCGTCCTTGGCACAGCGGTAGAATGCTCACCAACCACGCCTCATGTAGTTCGAGGTTCGATCCCCAGCCAACGCATACCTTAACCTCGCTCTGCCAGGAATAAGACTGGTAGAGAGGGAAGGTTGGGCATGAGGCTAGGAACTCCATCCCGTAAAAAAGTACCACTGCTACCGAAACTCCAAAGCTCTAGTTTGAAGCCCTATCTTTCATTTGGGACGTAAAGAAATAAAATAAATAACAAATAATAACAACTAAGGTTCCAAGCAACTGAACGTAGGTTATACTTCAGAGGTCAGCAAGTGTGAATTACAGTTGAAGATTTGGGATAACCACGGATATATTCACCCATAAATATAAAAAATAATAACAATAAGTAATTACCGATTCAATAGTAGTGATGATCTTCTACGTACTGCCTCGAAGATACTGCCTCTACTGCCAGATATAGAAGAGACTGATTGACGTTGTTTCTGTAAATCCGGTTGTGATAACAATACTTGATCTTGACCTGGATTCGCTGGATCACTTGAAGCAGGAAAACAGGTATATGGGGGCAGAGAGAGAGAGAGAGGAAAAGTGAAAACAACGAAGACAGTTAATTTTGTTCAATGACACAGACTGTATGTCAACATTTTACAACAAACTAATTTGTGTACAGTGCATTAACAAATGAGTCAACATGCTCAAACATAAAAAGTCATTCAACGAGATGTCTTGCATCTTTTTTTGTTCTGCTTCATTAAACACTTCTTCAGCTTAAACAAAAATCATAAAACGTTAGTCAGAGTGCGGTGAAAGAAATCATATCCCACCTTACTCTTGAGGATTCAATGAATTCAGATTTTGTCTTGAGTCATTGAAGGGGATTCCTGACTCACCTGAATGACTGGTAACATACCCATCTAGACATGAATATAAGAACAATAGAGTTTAGTGAATAGTCTCTTTTCGGCGGTGAATTCATTCAATCTCATTTCTGGACGCCCGACTAACAAAGAAGACAGATGAGACTCTAAAGAGATCAATATATCGAAAGCCTACATGGGACGGCCAGCTTACTTTTATAGCTGGATACCCATCAATCGCAAGTAAAACCTGATAATATCTCTTGTGACTAGAATCTGTAGAATCTGCAGCTTCGAATCAGTAGAAGGAGAGATAACTCTTTTGGGGAAGACACTACTTGAGAATGCCTATCTCCACTACGCTTTATAGATATACACATGAAGCCGAAAACCAACAAAGAACAACCCGAACTCTGTGCCAAAGAAGATGCTGTACATGAATGTGGCGTTCAAAGGCAACCTTCTGGCTGACATTCTAGAGAGAAGAATATCTAACACCATGAAAAGAACATTCTCTGCTGCTACATTACGACTGGTATTCTCAAGCCACCCACTGCTCTTCAACAACTCCAAAGATAAACTATCGCATTTGACCACTTATATGTGTATCTGCTGATTTACTTGCTCATGTGGAGCGAGATATTTATATATGTCGTTCGATACGTGTTTCATCTAAAAGAGTCACAAAACATTATTTTGCTTGGCTACGAAAAAGCAACAGCGGGTCAATAAGAAGTGCTATAATTGAACATATATATTCAACACCGGTCACTCAATATGTATAAGGAGAATTCATTCAAAGTCTTCTACAAAGACAAAAGAAGCCTACTGAGAACGGTAAGCTTCCGTATACTTTGCATTGCCAAGAAAGCCTTAGCGATCCGGATAGAAAAGCCAGATTTATGTACACGGAGGAAACTTCTCCACTCCCTCCTTTTACCTTGGGTATAATGCCAAGTTCTACTACTTTGTTAATAATGCTTCCTTTTTTTGAATGTATGTATAACATCTTAGTAACATCTTTTTCTTAACCAACCCTTCATTTACTCTTTCTCCCTATTACGTAATTTATTTTGGACAACTGTCCCCATGCTCTTTCACTAGCACCTTATTTTTCTGGGTGTCTCATATTATACAACCCTTGTCATTGTTTACCAATCTTCACTCCTGCCCTAGTTACAATTTGATTATTCATCACATTTCTGAAACATTTTGATGACGTAAACAATAACCCCAATAAATTTTTATCTTTGTTTGACAATCCTAATGTACACACATGCATAGGCCCAAAACAATTATATACAAATGCGATTGTACAGCTAAGTGAATAAATTCACCGCCGAAAAAGACTCTTCGCTGAACTTTGTTGTTCTTATGCTCATGACTAGTAACAAGAGAACATCGTCTAAAAAAGTACTAAGCACTTAAAAACAACTTGGTCAGTGAATTTTCTGTCCAGTGATCACAAACAATGTTAACGAGCAGAAAACCTTAGAGCTGATCCATATAGTCCAATGTTCTGCTTTCCTAATCTTTATTTATTTTGTGCTACACAGAGATACCCAATTTCCATAGGGGACTTGATTTACCTCAAAGGTTATGAGACTTCTGGATACAGAGGGCTAGTTTTGAATATACCAGTTTACGCCGTCTCTGGCGTAGACGTGATATCCATCTGGCTATCGAACAAAGGGCGGGTGTACTGCTCATCAGTCCGCTCCGTCCTCCTTTATAGCTATGAGACATGGTCATTGAGAGTGGTATACATGAAAAGACTGGCTCTCTTTGATCATAGGTGCCTGTGTGTCCCGTGTCAAGTGGTATAATAGGGCGAGAAATATTGAGGTTAGGCGTCGAGTGCTAAGTAAGGAGGGGAAATCAATCGACGAGGCTGAGAAGCTACATCGACTGAGATGGTTAGGACATGTGCTACGTATGCTTAGTCACCGCCTTCCTCGACAATGGGCAATGTTAGCTGACATAGGGCCAGGCTGGAAAAGGGCTAGCGGCGGTCAAACCAAAACATGGCACCAGTCAATGAAATCTACTACAGTTAGTTTAAGCCACGTAGGAAGGTGTAGACTTCCTGACTGGTTGGGGTCCTCGAGACGGTAGAAACCAATGGTTGGAAGCAGTTGGTGATATGGCTCAAAATCGTTCTCAATGGCTAGCGCAGATGCATCCACTCCTTGTGACTTATGATTTCCAATGAAACGGTTTTGTTCTTCGTTATAACTATTCCTTTGTCTCACACCTCTGTTTACAGTCTATATCATGTATTTCTTCTACTTTCTTCTCTTGCTTTGTGTGCTACATGGAGTATGGCGACTTGAACTGCCGCACATATGTGCAAAGTTCTATGTCGAAAACCGACCGACCGAGCATTCAGTATATAACTCATTGACATATGCATACTTTACATCATATATACACACACCTTGGCTGAGCAATCCTCAGTAAAACTAGAAAAAGTGAATCACTACTATGAATGTCACAGATGCGTTGAAACAATCGTTCCGTGGATCCCTAGTTTTCAATCGATTTTTATCTGACATCAAACTAATCATGAAAAATATCTTATTGTTTTAAGTAATAAACACTTTGAATGTATGCGTCTATGTGTATGTGTGTGTGTGTGCGCGAGTGAGTGAGTGGGTGAGTGACTGAGTAAGTGCATGAATGACTGATCCTTACGGAAGAGGAAAAGAAAATAGTGAAGAGGTGGGCGATACAACACACAACAATAAATGGACACAGAGATGAGAATTTTAAAAAATGGCACGTTCATGCGCGTACATTGCACTCATCCAACAAAGAATACCATTGAACAGAACAAACAACAGAAATACCATTACCCAAGATATATAGATACACAAATATACATAGATAAATGGAAAAAATAAACAAAACGAAAATAAAGCGAACAAACATATACTTAAAAAACCCGCTGCAAACCGTCGACAAATAAAAACATGCAGAACAAATTTACAACTTGGAGGATAAGACGATGGTGGGGGGGGGCAAGAAGAAATACGTACACCGACTTCTTCCCTTCTCGGGTAGGTAAACTTACTCAGCTACAGATGATGGTACTGTCTTGGGGATAGTTCTAGTGTGGTTGTTTGTTTGTTTGAAGTTTTATCATCAAATTCAAGTAGTGATAAAAGACAAACAACAACCAACAACAAGAACAGAAAAAAAGAAATCAAACGAGAAATAGAGGTAGTTATTATAAATCAGTGAGTAAAAAATGTTAAGGAGAACTTAGGCAATAAAAGCGTATACCATACTGTTTGATAATACCTCTACAAAGCATACTTCATACAACTGAAGAGAAATAGAAAAATTGTTGAAAAACACTCGAAACATCTAAGTAGTATAATACTCATAATAGCTAGAAGATCTGTCAGCTTCCAATTAACGCATCATCTGCAAATTGTTCGATTAGACGATTCTCGAAAATCGAAAGACACTGAAATTAGCTAACGTGCACACGAAAAATATTTACAAGACCTCATATAAATTACGCACTTCTGTCATTGTGTATGAAATACCACTATTGTAACGACAGAAGACAAGGGCCAGGCAACAGATCGTTTATTGAGAAGATCAAGAGATATTTATAGATTTTTAAGTACATTATTATTATCAGCGAAGAAGCAACGTCTTCTGATTGGCTGTTTTCTTGCTAAAGGTTATCCTGTACTGCTTGTGACCGTTTCTCAGAAAGTTAAGCCGTATATCTGCGAATCATATTTGCACACTTTAACTCCGCTGTGATTGGCTGGTGATTTTCTCAAGGTTAAGCTTTGTTATTGTTTTTTTCATGTCCCTGATTCGGGACGTAAGCAATGATGTAAATTATTGTCTACAATTTCGGCTTGCAGCCAGCTTCCACCACACCATTACTGACCGGAACAGTCTAGAAACTAATTGCTTCCATGTTCCAATCCAGCTGGAATAGCAGATATACATAATAAGTCATAAGACGGGAAGAGTAAGACACCCACCATACTTTGAAACTGGGTATTTCGGTTTCCTGATAAGCTCAGTTAAAGATATGGTTTAAACCATTACTCAATAGCAACGATTAGTCTTTGTCTTTCTTCTTGAAAATGTCCAACTCTCAATACCCTGTCTATTCACAACTCTCCTTTTGTACCTGATCACGTAGGACTAGAAGTCATTATAAGCGATGATATGCTCGCACAACCAAGTACAAAAATCAAACCACATCCTATTTGACCTGCTTTCTGCGAAATGATAGAGACAGTGTTATGCGTGAAAATTACAACTATGTAATTAGCAAAATAAACGGCGCTTTTATCTTGTTAGTAATTTATACTGACACTATTTTGATTACCTTATAATTCTAATTATTAGCAGTATTATCATCATTTTACACTTTTTGTAAATTTTGACTTCATTGGTATATATATATATATATTCGTTGTTGTTGCTGTTGGGTAAATTAGATGCGACATTGTACCAAATGCTGAGAATTTTACTCTCTATCATAAGTACTGCTATGGAATAAAGCAAATTATTATTATTACTATCATTACAAGAAGTTCTTGAAGTCCAGCTTGAAAATATTTATAGCTTATGACTAAATTGGTAGTCATTTCAAAGCAGTTTTGTTTTACTGCAAATGTACAGCTGTGACAGAAAAAGATGGAT